GTTGCTTAGCAACATGGTGTGCCTGGAAATTAACAAACAAAGCAAATAATATGATAATAACAACAATAATAAGCATTTCCATCAAATTCATTGCTTTTTCTCTACAACAATTGGAAAGATGCATCAAATGTTTTTATTTATGTCACTTAGTTCAGCTTTTTTAAGTTATCAAATATATACTGCATAAAAAATAATGCTGTCTATTGTATATCAACATTGAAAAACACACATAAATATAACAGCGCCATCAAACTGAAACTTTCACCGCTGCTTAAAATAAAGGAGCATTTTGTACTTACAGCCATTTGCTTCTAACAAAAATCGCAGCAGCTGATGATCCAGATACTACCATTCATTAAAGTGACACTGCGTCAGGATCATTCCTCCCGGGCTTTGTTTTATGATCTAATGGCTTAACACTGAAAGACAAAAGGTCATTAATAAGATTAAAGCATTTACATTTTGCTTTGCTCTCATGTCCATATTGTTCCTTTGGTTACTCACTTTATTTACAATACCACAAGCAGCCCACCTCTGTATATAATATACTATATTATTTGCAATATCACACGTGTGATGAGCCCTCTATGCCATCAGTGAGAGACTAAAAGCAATGTTCTTTGCCAACTAAAGATGGAGCTGAAAGGCTCAGAGTATTGAAAAGTACACCTGCATGCCTTTGTTTTGTGGTAGAATAAAGCAAAGAAGCTGTGAAAAGAGTTGAAGATGTGTTTATTCTACTTATTATTCATCTGAAATGATCTGAATAAAACTCTTAGTACCTCTCAGACGTGGATGTGTATGTGGATTGTAGTGATATTTCAAGCAAACTATATCTCAAATGTGGATGTGTATGTAGATTGTAGTGATATTTCAAGCAAACTATTGTCTTCAGCTAGTATCACAAGTGTCTTCAATACTAATCAGTACAATACTTTATATAGGCTAACAGTATGCAGCTCATATAGCAATAATTAATTTCTGTGACATTTGTACAAGCTGTTGTTTCTAGTGCCAGGCTGGAGGAGATCCTAAAGAGAAACTATACTGAAGGTTTCTGTTAACTTTTTTAAAACAATAATTTTATATTAAAACATGATTTAAAATGCATACACATGCTGATGTTGACAAAATCACAATACGCAAGTAAGATTTTTTTAACGCCCACATGGTAGACATCGGGATTGAAGTAATTTCCCCGCTGACTATACTCCTACTTTAAATTTAAAAAAATAGTTTGACATTTCAGAAATGTCTGTTTTCCTCCTGATCACACTGGGAAGTGGTACAGCAGCATTAGTTTGCATATCCCCAGCAAACACAATCTTCCGGGGCCTTTGCACAAGCCCACAGTAAACTCACACTTAACCCAGAGTGGGGTAATATAGGCATGTTTGTTTCTTGAAGCATTGTTATAGTGAGCACTTGTATGGCTTGTTGGTGAACTGTTGTAGCTGGCCGCTAACCACTAATATGTATAAGTGCTAGTTACTCCAGCTTCTCCCTATCTGCTCTCTATTATGCCGTTTACTCTTCACTGGCATTTTGCTCACCATTGTACACTATTTAATTTAAAAAGGTCATGGAAGAATTAAAATAAATTTCTCTGCTAAGGGTTATTTAGTGCATTAACTTAGTTTGTTGATAAAGGAGCAACAACATCACAGTTTATTCAGGAGAGGTGTTTATACCATTGACTTCTGTTTCAGAAGGGTTTACAAATGATTGCCCTTTTGTGGAGCAGTTGATACAGGAGGTTAAAAAAACATGCATAATACAACACAGCTAATAGTCTCTTGCATTTTGATCTGTCCAGTTCTCTGTTCCCTCAAAGGTCAGTGCTGTCAAGAGGTCACGACAGCTTGCAATTGTAGCACAAATTCATGTTTTTTTAAATACACCTACTTTGCTCCTGAAAGAGTTCAATTAAATTATTTTGCTCGAAGTTACAGTACTCAGCCATGAAATCCAGCTCATAACCCCTCCTAAAAACATTATGATGGCTTGAAACCTCTTGTGGATTAAGCTAATTAGATTTAATATGATAATAATAAGCATGCTTTAGGGTGATTTTCCTACCTTTGTACTGAACCATTCTAGCTGTTTTCCCATTTCCAGGCAAACTAGTCCTTATGCAATAATTGCATTGCCTTTAATTCAGATGACATGTTTGCATACTGAACAAACACAGGACACTTTTTATGCTTTAAAAAAGGGTTTTCTTTTTATAGCATGTTAAAGAAACATGCAGCCCATCTCCTGAATAGGCTGTACTGAGAGTATATTTACCATAACCTTAACATGTATGCTTCAGCAGGCTGTTTTGGCATTCTGTAAACAGGGCAAGGCAGTCTCATGTGTAAACCGATTTAGGTGGCAGTGAGTGTGAAAATATAAAAGCATGACACACTATGGGCTACAGGAGACGATGCTGGTACGCATCCCATGCACCTAATGGCTGCTGAGTGACTTAAAGTGAGGCATTAATTCGAGGGATTTTTTATATGATGAATGGGAGCTGATGTGTTAAGAGACCTATGAGGGCCCTAGACAGCAGTCATAAATCTTGGTTCATGCATGAAGCCACAAACATATTTGCATCTCTCATTTCACTACATGAAATTAGCTGTAAAATGTGATGAAACAGACCAAAGCCCATTCCACGGATCACTAGAGGAGGGATAGACATTTTCAACCCAATTTCTGCAATCTAATTTGAGTACTGGCTTAGACTGAAGTGGAGTGGTAATATTGAAGCATTACTCATACAGAAATGCACTGTCATATCTGGTTTGATACTGTCTTGGTCAAAGAAACATGATGCGTAAATTACAGCTCCAGAAGCAACAGTCCTTCATCAATAAATCATAACTTTATGAAGGTGATAACTTTCATTTCTCTCCTGTCAGCCAAAACATATAATTTCATGTTTTTAATGCAACTGGTGGAGTTAAGTATATATTTAAAGGATGCACAATGAGGCAACTTACAGCAACTTTAACAATCACATACCACATTATTTTTGTTTTATAATGGCCTAATCACAGTGATAGTGATAAGTCAGACAAAAGGTATCCTGAGATAAATAAAACAAAATAAACAATGGGCCATTTGTTGTTTTTGACTACTTCTGAATAATAAATTCAAAGTCTTACAATTTGCATAAACTTTATTCTAATTACTATTACTTTAACTTTTTATATTGAACAAAAAAACCATTTAGAGAAATTTAAATTAAATGTAGTTAAAAAACACATTTTACATCTGTTTTTGTTCTATGACATTTATAGTCTAAAACCAAATGAATCAAAATAAGCCTTACAAGTGTTATTAACAACATCTATTTCATTACGAATGTTTATGATAATAGCAGGGAAGGTGTGTGTAGATACCAAAATGTAAATGCCAATGGAATAAAAAGGATTACATTCCATATTTTAGATCACATATCAGACATATTTCTCTCAGAGAAATAATCCCCACTTTCCTTTCCATCATGTTTGAAGTGGCATAAGTTCAACTGGCCCTGTGTGAGAAGTTGCTCTAACAAGGCTGTAGGAGGACTTTCTGTGTCAATTAGCAGTTGTGCTGACCGGGGATAGAAAAGACAAGAGAATATGAAAGATGAAATGCACGGAAAATGAACAATGAAAAATAAGAACAAGGCATCCACTACAAGCCTAAGCGATACATCAATTTTGTTATGTTCAGCAGTGCACACACTGCTGAATATTGAACATATACATCCTGAGCCGCTGGTTCGAACCGAGACAAAATGTGCAAGTTAAATTTCAAATATTATCACTGACCTTTGAAGGGGTGTGTAAATGATATGGAAGGTGCTTATAAATGCAAAGGGAAAATAATTAAATGTAACCCTTCAAATGTATCTCCCAGCATTTCACTATAAATACATTACATACAAACAACATTCATCCTCTTGTCCGTAAACATCACTTATCTTAGTATAGGTGTGGATGCTTTGTGTAAAATAATGTGCCAACAAATCACACTGTGTTTATTTGTCTGCACTACAGGCAAACACCTGGCTGATAAACTGTGGGATACAGCTGCTTTCATTTTTCATACTGTTGTTTTAGCCCGTAGATGTCAATTACTTTAACCTTCATAAGGATTCACCTCATAGTAGAAGCCTGTGTTGGGCATCTGATGGGCAGATGTGACAAATAAAGCAATTTCATTAACTAGCTTTAAAGTGTACTAGTACTAGCTGTTTACACATACAGATTGTTTTGTTGTTGATGTTCCCCAGGTTTGATTAGTTATATAAGAGAGCATATTGTGGCTGTGAAGTGACTGGTTTCTATATTTGGAAATTTTGCGAGAGCATATTGTGGCTGTGAAATGACTGGTTTCTATATTTGGAAATTTTGAAGCTTTATTTATTCAAAAACATTTCAGAAAGTGTGTAAATATCTGAAGTTATCTAGAGAAGATGATTCACTGAGAAAATTAAATATAAACAAAAGAAAGGTGGCAAAGCCCACAATGGTTTATACTAGAGGAGGTTAACTCATGAATAGCAGTTGCCACAGCAGCCTACTGAAACCTCACACAGCTTAACAAGTGCTGATAATTACACTTTTGGTTTGTGGCTACAGTAATTAAGCTCTGTAGATAACTGTTTATATTTATCAGTGATTTCAGTTCTGCAGACTTTTGAAATTGCATGGTTATATAGAAACCTATACTTTTTTAAGGGTTGCCCTTAATTATGGGTTGTGTAGTTCTTGAGCCACTGGATCGTGGCAGGAAAACACCATTCATTTCAGGCAATCTAGTTTAATAATGTTTATTGTCCTGACCACTGCAATATGTTGCAGGGTACTGTCTATTGTATGGTGCTGTATTTTTTTATGAATACAAACTTAGTTGCAGTAAACCCGACCAATGTCAGCTGGGAGTGGGTCCGGATAGATTTTAATTTTGACGCATCTGCTTTTATTTTGAAGGTTTGTCGTCAGTCGCGCGTTGACGTCACATGAACAAACATAATCCCCGGTTGGTTTTTCCCATTATATTTTTTTCTAGCTCAGAAATTAATATAGTGTGAGTTCACCTAAGTTGGAGACTCGCGGACTTAACAGGCGCCTTCCCGGGGAGTCCGGAAATACGGAGGGCTGTCAAAATCCACATTTCCAAAGTCCACAGTGGGTTTTCTATAGACCTACTGCACATAGCCTGTATTTGCCAATATTAGAAAACTTTGTAGTTAGTTACAGGGCCAGAAATTTCGGTTCATCTCCACGAAAACAGCGCGCTCAGAGATCCGACGTGGTGACGGTGATAACGTCATTGGTAATTCATTTGTGTGTCACGCGCTGTCAGTCATATGTCAGCTGTCAGTGCAGCAGACAGAAACGTTCAACCTTTTAATAACTTGGGATTACTTATTGTCATGGAAGTAATACTCGGTGTTGTTTTTATACTTTTGGCTACTCTTCGCGATGCTGGTGAGTACTGTGTGCAAAAATGTAACCTATGTCAAACTGCAGCGTACCTGAATTTCAAAACAGGAAGTAAAAGTCCTGTTCTAGCCCTCTGCATTTAGTTACCCAGCCCCTCTTGTTTCTTCCATACTCCTCATTATCCTTTATTACACCGTGCTTTTGATTCTGCTACACTCTAAATAATCATTTTTAACCACTGTTATTAGAAGGTAAAGAAGAAATAATAAAAGTGTCTGTATGTAGATGGTAGCCTGCGCTTCGCTTCCTACTACAGAGACCACATGGTGCTGCAGAAGAGTCCAGAGAAAGCTGTTCTGTGGGGCTATGGTCCTGAGGGTGCACAGGTCACAGTCTTTTTGTCAGGACCAATACACCAAAAAATTTCACCAGTCAATGTGACAAAAGGTAAATACACTCAGTTGTCCGGTGGGAATTTAAGGGAACTGAAAGAAGCTGAGGTCCGACTGAGTGATCCTGACATGACAGAAAACCCAGTTTTGTATTATAGATTCTGTTGTATAACCAATGTTACAACAGTTAGTGTATGGCCTGAAATTGCTGTTTTGGAAGTTTCAGAATTTGTTTCTCACTCAGTTTTATATAGTAGTAATGTGCTTGTTATGTCATAATGGTTTCTGTTGTTCTTTTATTTGTCTCCACTGATTTTACTTTACTGACAGTCCAGCTATCATTGTTATAAAAAAATGTCTGTTACATTGTACAGGTATCTGGCGAGTCACCCTTTACCCTGTTGATGTTGCTGGTCCCTTTAATGTGACAGCACTTGCGCAGAACAGCATAGTCACTCTGACAGATGTGCTGTTTGGAGATGTTTGGCTGTGTGGAGGACAGAGCAACATGTACTTTAAAACATCTCAGGTACAGTAGGCCGTGCCAGATAAACAATGGTTTGTTTTTCTGAGCATGTTCACGTTGACAAATGTGCAGTAATGTTATGTAGTAGTGAGTTCTTAAACCTGGAACTGAGTCAGCATTTTTGCACTTCTGCTTCCCTCCCCAGAAGTCAGTGGGGGTTTTTGGTTAGATGCTCGAAATAAGGCACTATGGTTAACAAAAGGCCAATACATTTTTGCATTTTGTTCTATGACATAAAATACATTAGTAAATACCCCCCTCATGATTTTTAAGGCTTTTACATGTCTTTAAAAAGGCAGCTGCTAACAAGTTGCTAAATAAGACTACAGAGGCTGCCTGGGGCATTAAACATCAACTCTGAGACTAATCTACTTTCAGGAGGAAAGGGTTTTATAGAACAGGAAAGTGAGCTAAATCAAATTACAACTTGGAAGTCAGGGGACTGTGGTGTCATTTGTTTATAGCTTAACAATAGCTTTTTATTTCTGGTGATCGTATTTGGGCTTCAAAAATTATAAAAGTGTTGGTCTCTTGTGAAGATTATCTTACTGAACAAAATATGTAAGTGTCATAAACTGTTGTTTATCATAGATCTTATTTTCTGCAATGATCCAAACACCTATGGAAAATCCCATTGGCATTTTGTCGAGGGAGCTTTATGAATTCTCATTTATTAATCCATGTATTCATTCTTCAATAGATTTTCAATGCATCTGAGGAGCTGGCCCTTGCAGCCAAGTATCCTCATGTTAGGACCTTTATGGCAGCCTTGAATCAGAGTGGTACGGAGCTGATTGATCTGATTCAAGTAGAACTTCCCTGGTCTGTGCCCACAGAAAGTGAGCCAAGGATTTATTATTTATTCATAGAATTGTTTAATACTTGTTTGCAGCTAAAGGGTTTAGTTTGGGGCAGTGAGCTACAACTGAGCCAGATATAAATGCACTGTAAATAGAAAGAAGCATGTATTGCACTGTTGCTAAATCCAAGCCACTGCATATTGTAGTCATATTTGAGAAAATAGATACATAGTAAACAGCACTGGCAGTCAAATATCAACCATGGTTCTGTTTGTTTATGAGTGTGCTATAGTCTACATGCATTGTATTGACTAATTAGTTAACATGCAGATGTACCGTATTTTCCAGAAATTCTGGCAGAGTTTTCTGCAGTGTGCTGGCTCTTTGGACGTTACATGTTTGACAAACTGAAGTACCCCATAGGACTGGTGGAGTCCTGTTGGGGAGGCACAGCTGTGGAATGCTGGTCATCTTCAAGAGCACTGAAGCAGTGTGGACTAGAGCCAACTGGAGACAAGTAATGATATGAAACAATACAGCTGAGTTAACTACTGAGCTACACTCTGATATACATGACAAGTGATTAACAAGGATATCTGAATTTTCACACTTTCTCATGCAACACTTATGCTTTCAATAGTTTGGTGTAACAACCAAGCTAAGTTGGTTTGCTCTAACTGCACTGGTGCTATGTTCTGCATGTTTTAATCTCTTAGTACTCTGACAGACAATTCTATCTTGTGGAATGCAATGATCCACCCACTACTCAACATGACCCTCAAAGGAGCCATCTGGTACCAAGGTAAGACTACCTGCACAGGAATCAGATGCTCAGTATCGCCACGTATAAAACATTCATCATTACAGTTTTTCACACTTTCAGGTGAGGCAAATGCAGGCTATCATCAGGACAAGTACAACTGTTCCTTCCCTGCTATGATTGATGACTGGAGGATGGCTTTTCACCAGGGCTCAGGGGGGCAGACAGCTTTGGACTTCCCCTTTGGATTTGTCCAGGTGTGTTGGTATTTGTAATTTAGTTTTCCATCCATTCATTATCTATACTGTGCTTATCCTGAGGAGAGTTGCAGGGGGGCTTGAGCCAATCCCAACCAACAGTGGGTGAGAGGTGGGGCACACCCTGGACAGGTCGCCAGTCTATCACAGGGCTGACAGTTAGAGACACAACCACACACACTCGCATTCTCTCCTACGGGCAATTTAGAGTCACCAGTCAACCTAACCTACATGTCTTTGGACTGTAGGAGGAGGCACCGGGTCGGACGGAGCTCAAACCCAGAACCTTGTGGTTAGCAACAAAGCTAACCCCTGCACCACTGTGCCGCCCTCTAATTTAGTTTGGATTTGCATAACAGAAATGAGTTCAGACAGTAAGACAAAAACATAATAAATAAAATGCCACTATTAGCAAGTCTTAATGAGCACTTTTAAAAGACACTGTTTGCACAATTTTAAAATGTCTGACACTTTAGTGCTAGCATTAGAAAGACACTGTGGAATACAACAATGCATGCTGTGACTGCAGCTATATAGAAAAAATTAAACAAACAGCCTTTGCATTATTGTAGAGTTGGTTTATAATTTATCTGTATGTGCAGCTGTCCACTAACATAAAAGGCTTCACAAATGACGGCTTTCCAGACGTCCGCTGGCACCAGACAGCAGACTTTGGCTATGTCCCAAATCTCAGGATGAAGCGAACCTTCATGGCTGTGGCTATGGATTTACCAGATGAAACCTCACCATTTGGCACGTAAGGATCCTGCTTATAGGTATTCATAACTTGTGATATCTTCTCAGTGTCATAGAGTATTTAGCTTTGCTTGTATTATGTGATTCACACCTAGTAGCACTTCAGAATATATAGTGTGGCGTCATTTCACAGTCTGTAACCCTTCCCAGGTTTGTGAAAGAGAGCTTTGTTCAGTCTGTAGTACAACTCCTAGACATTCAGGCAGAATGTGGTCATATAAATTAACAAACAAATGACAAAGGTTTTTCTGAAGTGTTAGAGATATCACATAAACATTCAAATGCACAGATTTGATCAACAATTCATATATGTATGTTAGAATTACCTGCGATGGATTGGCGACCTGTCCAGGGTGTACCCCGCCTTCGCCCGATTGCCGGCCGGGATTGGCTCCGGCCCCACCCGTGACCCCGCTCAGGGATTAAGCGATAGAAAATGAATGAATGAATGAATGTTAGAATTACATGTAAAACTAATTTAGAATGTGCTTTAAAGGTTAGTGCTATTTTTAATCATTACAGGTTTGACCTGATGTCACTTCAGAGTATCTATTATTAAATGTACCCCAGCAAGAGTTTTAATTGGAGCAAAGCGGTCATGTTATGCTTGTTCAAATGTTTCTGCTCTGGCTGGTCTTTGGATAGAGTTTAAGATCCTTATAGAAAAAATCCATAAGGTTTTTCACTGACATATTCCTGATACGCTGCCAAGACTCAGTAAGTTCTTAGCATAACTCTCATATCAACAGGGAAACTGCTTTCTGCTGTTTTTTTCTGTTTATTAAAATATAATATGTGATGCAACCTGCTTTTGTTTTTGGAAGCGATGAGGTGCTGTTTATTTTTTTTTCTTTCTCATTGTATTGACTTTCAAACTCTGTCTGGTCTTATAGACTGGGAAGTCTGTGTAAATGTGATGTGATTTTCTGTTTCAGGATTCATCCCCGAGACAAGCAGGATGTGGCCTACAGACTGACACTGGGGGCAAGAGCAGTGGCTTATGATGAAGAGGATGTGCCTTTCCAGGGACCTTTTCCCAAAAAAATCATATCCACGCAAACGTATTTTAACATCATCTATGACCAGGAAGTCTCTGTCACACCGTCTAAAGACATCTTTGAGGTAAGGCTGCCGGCAGTGTTGTCCATGTGATGTCCTATATTCACCTGCTGGCTTTAACAATGCTAACACATAATAACTATTAGATACTGTTTATCTTGGTTCTCATTTATTGAAATGTAATTTATTGTTAAATTAATACTCTCATATCAGTGATTTTTTTTTTTATATCAAGATCTGTTGCTCAGAGATTGAAGCTCCATGTGGACCTACGTCTCACTGGGTTCCAGCTCCCATCATGCAGTGGGGTCTGAAGACTATCCAGTTATCTACCATTATGTGTTCAACAACACAAGTAGATGCCCTTCGATACGCATGGAGAGACTGGCCCTGCGACTTTAAAGCCTGTCCAGTCTATAGCGCAAGTGGGGTTTTACCTGCTCCTCCTTTTATTGTCAACCGCTATCCAGTCAAAGGAATGGTATGAAAAAGCTACTGAACCAGAAACCATAAGAAGACAATGTAATAGAAATATAACACCATTTGATTCTTTAGATCAAAACAAACTGTCTGGACAGATACTGTATGTTGCCAAATTTACCTGATTATATGTTCAACAAAACAGATGGCACTGTAAAAATGAGCTAAAAACAAAATGATGGAGAAAGTGGAATGTTTCCTTAGTGACAAGAAGCTACATTTAGTCTCTTATCATATACAGACAATATAATGACACTGCCAAATTAAAGGTACAATATGTAACTCAAGGTAGATTAGCATGATACTCCAAATCAATCCCTCTTCCTGCTCCAGTGCACTTTACTACATTCCGCCATGCTTTGTCCAGCTTTTCAGATATTTGACGTAGAAAAATACAAGAAGTGAGAATGCAACCACACTTACTGATCAAGCAATAGAATTGAAAATCTCTGTTTGGTTAAAGAGGTCAGAAGTCCAGCTCAAAACCTTTTAGAAGCTAATATCTCTGCAATGGGACAATAATTTAGCCAGTCAATCTTTGGGTATGTGAATATGGTTTTTTTGACTTATTTGTTTTGATTTCTGCATTTTTGGGTTGGTTTAATATTGATCAAACAATATGGGTTAGTAATAAATCTCAGATGCCCAACCTCATGAATTGCTAAGTAAAAAAGCACCATCTGCAGTACAGTACAACGAGTTTATTGCTGTAATCTAATGTGTTTGGTTGGAAGGTCTACTAGTTTGGCCAGTGAGTCTGGCAGGGCAATGATGATCAAGTTTTTTTTGTTTGTTTGTTTTTAAAGATTACTCTGAATGGTGAAGGTGTTTACTCAACTATAGAAACCCTTGTGGCAGATTTTGCTTACACTTTTAATCCTCTGCATAGTCAATGGTGTTACAATCACTGCTAAGTGAACAGGTCAGACCTCACGTGCAGGACTGTTTGAATAGTGAAATGCATGACAAATGTGTTTTTAATTAAAACAAAACTCTTGAATTTAAAGTGTACAACACAAGTAAGCCCTTGAATTATTTTGCATAAATGTGGTTTAGCAAGAAGTATTTGTGCAGATGATACAGCCGTCACTACAAATAACAATACAATCGAAAGGAACATGAGTTCAATGTTTTTGAAGCCCATAGCTGAAAAGGAAATTATTGAGATAGTGAACAAATGTGGTAACAAAACATCCAGTGATAGTGATGGTATCACCATGACAACTGTCAAGCGGGTAATTGAGGGGATATGCAAACCATTAACCCATATTTTTAACATGTCGTTTCGACTTGGTCAGTTCCCCAATAATATGAAAATAGCAAAGGTTATTCCACTGTATAAATCTGGTGATAAACACAACCTCACAAACTATAGACCGATTTCTCTGTTGTCACAATTTTCAAAAATTCTGGAAAAACTCTTTAATAACAGACTAGACACATTTATTGATAAACATAATATCTTATCTGATTGTCAATATGGTTTTAGGTCGAAAAGATCAACATCCTTGGCCATTACTGACCTGATGGAGGACATTACAAGTGCTATGGATGAGAAAAAAATTACGATGGGGATATTTATTGACCTAAGAAAAGCATTTGATACAATTAATCATGAACTATTAATGGACAAGTTAGAGAAATATGGGAT